TACCAAGGAAATCATGAAAGGAAAGCAAGCTCTGGAATATCGAATCAACTTTGAGGTATATACTTTTATGCAGGCGCTTCTGGAATGTTGCTACATAGAAATGGAAAGTTCATAATTGGAAAACTGAACTCATGCCTTTCGTAGTAAAATCTATTTGTTCTCAACCGACCATTATTGTCAATGTCTAGATTTTAGTCAAAATATGAGTCAAACTTAACTGTATCAGTATATATAAAAGAAGATGTGGTATGATTGCCAATGAGACAACTCTCCACAAGAGACCAAATGACACAGAAAATACAGTAAAAGAAATAGTACAATAATCATGATAGTATTCTTTATTTCAAGTTCGATGAAATAAATGCGTTCAACTTTGAATTATTTAGTGAGGAAATCATCCATATAGTGGAACGTGGTGTTAAAGGATAATACTAGTTTTGTTTTCCTTTTTCCTGGTACTTAGTCTTTTTCAGTAACAAGTTTGAAAAAAAGATAGAACTGGTTTTGTGTAATGTACTCCTACAGTTTACAACCGAGATCCTTTGAATCTTGATACAATGAATACACTTACTTTTATTATTCTTCCCTTAGTTTATTTATTTTGTATTTGCATTGTATCATAGGTCAAATTTATTTGTTCAGTGTATGTTCACTGGTGTTAATATGTCCTTTGATTGAGTTAAGCTATTTCAGTTGATATTTTATAGTGTGTCTTTCTATGTTGTGATGTTACACTATTGTTTCGGAAAAAGGGTGAAGGTTTGGTACCATTAAAACGTTTAAACCCGGTGCAATTGTTTGCACCTGTCCTAAGTCAGGAATCTGATGTTCAGTAGTTGTCGTTTGTTGATGTGGTTCATAAGTGTTTCTCGTTTCTCGTTTTTTATATAGATTAGACCGTTGGTTTTCCCGTCTGAATTTTTTGGGCCCTTTATAGCTTGCTGTTCGGTGTGAGCCAAGGCTCCGTTTTGAAGACCGTACTTTGACCTATAATGGTTTACTTTTATAGATTTTGACTTGAATGGAGAGTTGTTTCATTGGCACTCATACCACATCTTCTTATATCTACATATATTGCAGTTGTGAACCTGGTATTATGGAATTGTTAGAAGATTGTTATTTATTTAACGTCCAGTGGCAAATATGTCATGCATGTTCAGGACGAGAACAAATTAACAATTGATACAATGGGTAGGTCCTACAATAAGGGGTCGACCGGTATAAAAGGCGGTATATCGGACAAGGACAGACATTTGATCTTGCAACGGACCATATACGGACCCCTCAATGAGTTGTTGCAAGGATTCTTAAAAAAACATGTGTAACTTCAAGGCATATTTTAGCGGCGATCGATGTCTTTCAAAATTACTGCACTTTTCTTATATCCCTAGTGCTTTCGACTGTAGAACCGTCGTACACAAGCATCGCACAAGTTGGCACTCCAAGGCGAGTGGGGAGCAAGAAGGTGAACTGTGGTTTATTTTTATCAATAGTACCGATTAAGTCGACGCTAGGGGCCGTCTTGACGTTGTTGTAGGGTATGAATGATTCGTTCATTGTTGAAGACCCTACATCAACTGTCAAGATGAAGAACAGGAATAAAAGCCCTGTTCATTGATAATTTTCTATGTTTTCTATGTATTGTGTGCGATTTTGTCCCATGTACATTTACTCCATATCCTTTCATTTTCTAGTAATGTGCAGAGAGCATGACACTCTCTTTACACGAGGCATCGGATCTAACGTCCCCATTCTGACTGTACGTGGCTGCGTATCCATACATCCCACACAACCAAACCGACGCCTCAATTTTGCAAGGGTTTACTACCGATCTAAAGTCCCCAGTGATCCTTGTGGTCATTTTCTGCATTGATTATCTGTAATATTTTCTCTCCGGTCATTGCACTGTTTACCAAATTGCTGTATACAATCGTATTCGCAAGACAGCTGCCCTGGTTAGGGTGCAGAAGAGAATGATTTAATTACAGGGGTTAAGCATTTTTGTTTTCAGTCAAAGTGAGCATTGTTTGATATGGTTTCGTTTTGCATCCTGCAGTTTATAATGTCTTTACATCGGTATTATAGAGTAAAACGAATTTTCTGAAGGTATTGTACGTTCTTCTATGTAAGTTCATACTTCCGTAACCCAATGCTGCCACTCATTTGGTCGACTCTTCATAGTAATCTACCGGACAAGATCAAAATCCGACTGATATATTCAAAATTTGGCGGGTCAATATCACACATTTCCGTAGTACCTCCTTTTTATCGGATTTGGTTGTTTCTTTTTTGTTATTGTTCATGTACATGCACACGAATGTGGTTTAATATATATATCAACTATCAAAAGCACATGGGTCTGTTGTAATACGGTAAACATGACTGTGTTCATGTTAACTATTTTATCATAACAACCAGTCACCTAAACATAGTTAAGAGTTTAATGTTCTTTGTATGATAGCACTGATAATATTTGTAATGCAGGCGTCACACTGTCCAGAAATTGACACCAGATGGTCATACGAATATGGAGTTTTTTTGCGCGAAAATTGTCCCGAACTTGGTCAACAGCCAATCATAAGACGAAGCAAGTACGATGATTACAGAAGGTCACACGATGGCACCCGAACCATTTTTATTACGATGTTTAGCCGCAGGACACACGAAGGCCACACGATGGCTATGCGATGTCGTATTGAGAGTACGATGCGTTCGAACTTGGTCACGAAACCTTCCGATGTTATAATACCTTCGGCCGACCGTAGGAAATATATTTGATTACATAATTTTTTGGTCCTTTATCCTTACTTTACAAGTTATTTTAATTTCTTTATTAAATTAATTTTCAATCAAAACTTCAGAAACAAAATTTATTACTCCATAGACATTTTGTTTAAGTTACAATGCAATATGTAGTATAGGACAGGAACGTCATCACCAGATAGAGACTTCTGGGATACTGGGAGATTGAATATGTTGTTCGGGGTTTCAGGATCCTCATTGTAAATACTGGCATTGTTGCTGGAACCATCAGAGCCGAAATCAATCAAGAGAAACTTGTAGTCTGCGTCGACCATGGCTATGAGAACAATGAAGAAGAAGCCCTCATTTTTTCTTTACACAGAGCCAGTATTTCAAGGACAAGTGACCGCCACATGCTTGCCACCTAGAGCACCACAGCAGTGTAGAAATTTCCACATCTGCCAAAACTGTTCAGCAATAGCGGTTCCCTCCTCAGATGTAATAGGACACTGGATCACATCAACAGCAAACTCGTCTTTGATGGCATCGCAGACATTATTGATAAGGGAGATGGTGTTTAGAACAACTCTGAGGTTGAAGGACATTTGGCTTGAGAGTGTGTTCGTAAAGTGATTTTGAGGACAGTTGTTTTGTTGTAATAATATAAAACTTTGCTGCACTGGTCTAGATGAGCTGTTCCCACCCATATTATTCATTTTTATTATCGGGATACCAATTTATGTGGATTTCATTGGTACAGTTGAACCACGAATTTAAATGTTTAACGAATTACACATTTTCTATAAGCTTGTATGCAGACTTTGGCAAAACCACGAAATCAAATATCCACGAAAATGCAAGTTTCAAATAAATGAATCCACAGTATGTCTTTTGATTTTGTCTATAAATACTGGATTTGCGTTTGAGGCCACGATAAGAATAAAACATTACTAAGATATGGTCATGATTGTTTAGATCAGTTCAAACCTTAACCACTTAAACAACTTTTAACCACTAGCATTCTTAAAAATGAAGATACCTTAAATTTCAATGATCATACTTTACTTTAAACATTAATTTACTTTATATAATTTTGCATATAACAATTATTTGAAATACATATTGCAGTTTAAGTTGTATGAATTACAGTTTCAAAAGCCTTTTCTTTGGTCACTCTCCCATCCTTTTTTGAACGATAACCAACAGCATTGCACTTCAACATGAACATGATCAGAAGTTCTGGCTTTTTGTTTTGGTGAAGTTTAGTTTAAACATATTTTATTTACTCAAAGTAAAATGGATTGGACACAAGTAAACCATACTTATGAAGTCCGCTCCGAATAACAATAAATTACAATACAATATTAATGTGAGCATGCAATAATTCAGAATATACAATTCTGTAAGAGTCTATCTATTGAAAAAAAAAAGATAAAATAATATTAACGGAAACATTGGTAATGATGATGAGGATGATGACGTGAATGTACCGCAAATACACTATTAGTATCATATAACAAGAAATCTCTCAGACCTTTTAATAAACTCGAATACATGTTTAAATATATTGACGTTTTGTTCATACGAAAGGTTTGGATTACCAGATGTTAGTAACTTAACATTTAATATAAGGTCATCAGGGAGCCATCTTAGATTGTTCATCAAAATTTCTCTCTGGTGTGTATATAAAGAACAGTCGAAAAGGAAATGGTGTACAGTCTCAATGTTGCATTTACAAAAACAAGATGGGTCAGAAATTATATTGACTCTAAACAAGTCATAGTTCAAGAAAGATGAATAGCATCTGAATTGTGTTAGAATCATATTTAGTTTCCTCGGTCCATATGAATAGTGCTTCGGTACATCTTTATTTATAGTATTTAGCCTTTTTAATTGGATTTTAAATTTTGAGATAGAGTCTGATTTTCGAAGGTGAAGCCAATCTGAGAGTCATCAATCAGACTGTGCTTTATTCTAATGTTAAATATATAAATGGGTAATTTTCCGACACAGCTGGTGAGTGTCAAGCCTCTATAGTTACTTGGATTATCTATATCACTACTTATGTGAAGAAAATTTATATATATATATCTAATATACATTCAGCCCCGCACTCTCAGTCCTGAATTTTGAGAATTAAGATCTTGAACTTGTTTTAGCCACTGTGTTAGAGTTATGATATTCTCTACATATCAATGATCTTTTTTCTGAAGATCATTTAAAAGCCTTCAATTTAATTTTAGGTTATTATCTAACTCGAATAATTCAATCCCTCTCCGTGTCCGATTTTCTTCCACGCGAGGGCTTGAACTCTTAATGATCATTGGTCGCGTCGCTGGCTCTCTGTGAGAGAGAGCCAATCGGCGACGATCAGATTGTGAGTCTGCGCAAATCTATGAAAACAGTTTCCGCCCGCAATATATAAACAATCAAAATGGATGTCGTTAATGCTTTGAAAACAATAGAGATGAAATATGCCTTTAATTTTAAAGAAAAACAGCTTGAGTCGGTAAAATACATCATGGAGGGTAAAGATACATTCGTTGTCCTACCAACAGGATATGGGAAAAGCAAAATATATTCCCATTTACCCGAGATTCATGGACTTGTGAGAGATACTCCTGGTACAGTGCTTGTTATTTCGCCGCTTCAGTCTTTGATGAAAGATCAGGTTTCTAAGCTCAATAAGATGGGAATTTCAGCAACTTTAGTTGGAGAATGCCAAAGTGACAAGAACATTGCTGATATGATACGAGAGGGTATATATCAGTTGGTATTTTCTTCTCCAGAAGCTGCCTTGACACCAGGGTTTTGGAGACGTTGCTTTACCACTGGAATATTTCACGACAACCTCTTTGCTGTTGTTGTTGATGAGGCTCACTGCATCATAGAATGGTAAGTTATCACGGTATTGATTAAAATGATACTATTAGTGTGTCTATACTATACAACATTGTCAGCTGATCTAAGCCTTGACTAAGATCATGCATGAAAAAATAATATGTGGAAGAAGTATGATTGCCTATTAGACAACTCTCCACAAGAGACTGGATGGCCTTTTGCAAATGAACAAAACCTGTACCACACAGTCTGTAAAAATTTCAAACGATACATGTTATGTTGTATGTATAAATTTATAACATATACTTTTAATCATTTGTTTTTTTGCTATAATGTAACAATAAAACAATTTAATAATGTGTAGGATTTAATAATGTCCCCCATGAAATAATGTCCACCGAACATTATTTCATAGTAAATAATGTCCATTACTGATTTGGTTAACATGATTAAGCACTGTTTAACATTGTATTATGAGTATCTATATTTGCATAACAAATATTTATGGTTTTTGTATATATTTTTTCAGGGGTGATGATTTCAGACCAGAATATGGGAACCTTGCACACCTCCGTTCCATTGTTCCTGACAAAACAGTTTTTATAGCAATGACCGCCACTGCAACCAAAGAAATGAGAAGAAGGATTATTAAACACCTTGATATGTGCCAATCAGAGACACAAACCGTATGTATGTTGCCTGAAAGGAAAAATCTTACGTATGTGATCAAGAAATCAAGAAAACAAACAGATGAACTTCACTGGATCCTTGCAGACATACTAGAAAACAAGGAAAATGCAAAGAAGACAATCATTTATTGTAGAAATATAGCGGCATGTGCAAATTTGTATGAACATTTTTACATCAACATTGATGATACTCTGAATTTTGATAGTAGACTAATTGCCATGTTTCATCGCTCCACAACAGAAGAAAATAAAGAACAAGTGCTGTCTGAATTCCCAAAACAGGACAGTAAGTTACGTCTTGTATTTGCCACTGTGGCTTTTGGTATGGGGGTCGACATACCGGATGTTGAACAAATTGTACACTGGGGTGCCCCTCGTAGTTTGGAGCAATATTCGAAGGAAAGCGGTCGTGGTGGAAGAGACGGCAGACAACGTGTCTGTGTGTTGTACTTTTCCGGTATAGACATTGCTAAGGACAGATCAACTGATGCTATGAGAGAGTTCTGTCGCACTTCAGGATGTATTCGTAAAGTTCTAAATGTCCATTTCAGTTTGGGAACATTAAGCGAGGCATCAAACTTTGAAAAAGGTCTGTGTTTTTGCTGCTCTTTGTGTTCAGAGCAGTGCAATTGTAACAATTGTTTCATACCTAGGTGTAATGTTGACTTTGCAAATGTAAGCGAATCTGTTGTGTGTGATGAACTGGCTGTAAGGTATCTCACTAGTAAGCAAATGAAATTATTAAAACTTAATTTGCAAGACTACCAAAGTGTTATATGTGAAGACAATCCAAGCAACATCCATGACTTTGATTGCCAGTTAATAGAGGAAATAGTTCGTCATTCTGATACCATTATGTGTATTGAAGATGTGATAGAATTGGGGCTTTCTAAACATGACTATGCTGAAGACATACTGTTGTTGATAGAAGAAATAGAAAACCTATAACATGTTTAAAACTATTGCAATTTTTGTGCAGTTACATTTGTAAATACACATGTAAATTTAAACATTGATTTAACAAAAATTTAAATAAATTAATATTTTAACAGTACATGTGTATATACATGCTTATGTATTACAGTCAACAATGACTCTTTTAGGATCAAGTTAATCAACACATTAAGGTTAATCATGTTATTTAGTTAATGTTTAATAGTCGCTTTTCAAATCACTAAAAGACTTTCTGAAGCAATTAATTATCTTTTTCCCCTATAAAATTTATCTTCAAAGTTTTCTAGGAATGACAGTAGCTAATTTTTTTTATGTAAATTTTGTTTGTTTCATATGTGTATACGTATTATAAAGTGTTTTATTTTACTGGCTAGAGTACGAAAAAAATTTGACAAAAACCATTGATATTGTAATGAACAATGATTTCTGACATTAAATTGTATATTATTGTAATCCTAAATTTATTGTCTATAAATTCAAACGTGTGTTATAATAAACTGTATGTAGTTTCCTTAAATCTATTCTTTGTTACATGTATATATTTAATTATATATACAAATAAGGAGATGTGGTATGATTTCAACTGAGACAATTATCTAACAGAGTTCATACATATTTGATGTTCTGATTGACCTTTGAATAATCTTGGATCTTCAGTCATGAAATTCTCTGAACCAAAAGTACATACATTTCATACTTTCACTTGAGATGAATATGTCAATGAGACAAAAAAACCAACAACGAAAATAGACACTTAATATTTACTACATAGACCTCTATTATATTCATGTGTCCTTTCTAAATATCAAGAATTAAAGCATCCTGTACCTTTAAAAGTTGAAATTATTTAGCGAGAACCAAAATATATGCTGTCAACAACAAATATACATGTACAACCAGTAGCAGTCTGAAACACCACCCTATCCTCCACCAATAAAAACAGGAGTCTCCTAAAAATACACAGAAGATACCAAGGGGAAGATAAAAATTTGTTTGTCAACACCATTAATAAAATGGAAAGAAACCGATAAGACAAACATGTCAACCAAAAAAATAAAAAGAAATTAAATTGGAACAACAAGAAATCCCTACAAATTTTTAGGGTGCTCTAACATAGATATAAGAAAATGTGGTATGAGTGCCAATGAGACAACTCTCCATTCACTCCATACAATGCTCCAATAGGATTCACAGAATTTGCCTCAATTAACGTGGTGTAAAACTAAAGGGTAACAAGATCCAGAGCCACAGAAATGAGATTTGCAATAAAATCAATAGTAAATGAAAGGATATGGAGTAGATGTACATGGGACAAAATTGCACACAATACATAGAAAACATAGAAAATTATCAATGAACAGGGCTTTTCCTGTTCTTCATCTTAACAGTTGATGTTGGGTCTTCAACAATGAACGAATCATTCATACCTTACACCCAGTTCACATTCTTGCTCCCCACCCGCCTTGGAGTGCCAACTTGTGCGATGCTTGTGTACGACAGTTCTCCAGTAGAAAGCACCAGGGATACAAGAAAGTTTCAATTAGTCTTCATGTAGTTTCAATTGGCAATAACAAATAAATATTCACGCACAAAGGTTTAAATTTCTATAATACTTGGTTGTTCAATGAGAATTCCTACTTTTCTGTCCCAAGACGCTTTTATTCCTGGTTGGACAAGACTTTTTGACCTTTTTGATTTGTACAAATGTATCAGCAATTCAGAGTTTGATTTCAGTTTGCTTAGACTGATTTAATATTTTAATCTTTAGCGTCACTAAGGACACAGGACATGTATGAATTTATATGCACATCTGGTGCATTAAAATGAGTAACCTTGGATGTTAACTTCTTCGTGTACCTATCTCTTTCTTTTAGAATGAAATATCAGTTTGGGACTTTTGCTTGTAGACAAAATGAAGATGCATCAGTTTATTATTGGTAATTTGAAAACTTTTGTGCAGGATCCGAGACTCATGTCCTTGATATCAATCCTGTAATCAATATCATTATGAAAGTGATATGTTGATAAATACCAATACATGTACTGTAAATTCAGAAATTATTGCGAAAAATGCGACAGGGTTATAATCGTAATAATTTAAACTCTCATTTTGAAATTTTTTGTATGAATTAAACAGGATTTTTCTCAATATCGCAAAAATTGAAATCGCATTTTAGTCTAAAATGACAAAATCGCAATAATAAATGCACGCAATAATTTCTGAATTTACAGTAATGACAAATTAAAGCCAGTATAGAGAAGAAAATGCCAAAATATTCAGACAAATCAGCTACATGTATTTTTGTATGGATGACTGGTGTGAGTTTGGCTTACTGTAAATAGTAGTAAGGTGTCCTATACTATGTTGCTTAAATCAACCTTATTTGCACTGGTGGATAGTTGTCTGTTTGGCTATCATATCATCTCTATATGTTTAAAAAAAGGCTGCAATTCAGTGGTTTTTGTTTGTTTATGTGTTACATATTTGTTTTTCGTTAATTTTTTGTACATAAATTAGGCCTTTAGTTTTCTCGTTTGAATTGTTTTACATTGTCATTACTCAGCCTTTTATAGCTGACTATGCGGTATCGGCTTTGCTCATTGTAGAAGGCTGTACGGTGACCTATGGTTGCTAATTTCTGTGTCATTTGGTCTCTTGTGGAGAGTTGTCTCATTGGCAATCATACCACATCTTCTTTTTTATATGCAAGATAAAATCATAGCTGGAAATGTAAGTGAATCATCACATTTGCTTCCAATAATCTTCACAACTACAACTGGAAAGTCTTGTAAAGACACCAATCTAACCTAGTGATGCAAACCATATCAATTGGGCAAAAAAATGTAACAAAATATGATTAAGACTGCTTTTCATGTTTATTATTGCTTGAATTTTTCCAAGCTGAATTTTTAATAATTTAATTGACAGATGAAAAACAATGAAATTTAAACAGTATACATACAGAGTAAATAAAGCACATGACTTGTGAACAATTACTTTTTTCGCACTATGAAAACATAAAAATGAAGTTCTATTATTGTTGATCTCCAGGATTGATGGACAGTCAATGTTTCTACTAGATACATGTATACCAAAGATTAAAAATAACACACACAAATATCACAATTTTCTTTACATTGCACTATTCACTTCATAATAATTAAAATAACATTCAAAAACTTTAAATTACATATAACATATATGTAAAAAAAAACCACCAATAATCATGACAGTTGTAAAAAATTAAATGCTAACATATTACTGCATTTATTATTACTTCTACTGTTATATATATTGCACAGAAAATGATGTATTGCACAGAAGATGTTTTCATTTTATATTTCTTAGTAAATGAAAAAATGATAAATTATGCACTAAAGAAGAAATGATCAAGTGATGCACTATTGGTAGTATCCATGACATATAAATACATAAGTTTTTTAGAAGGATGGCTGTTTTTCTTTGAATTACACATACATCTACATTTTCAAGGTTAGCACTAGGCTGACTAATAAACATGTTTAACTTTAAAATATTGAAATACATGCATGAAAGTAAAAAGGTTATCATGCAGGTACCAGTCATGTTTTTCATACAAAAAAATGCACCATAAATAAAACCAACACATACAAAAAAAAAATGCACTATAAATAAAACCAGCCTCATTTCAAAGCAATACATGTAACACGTTCTCATCTAAAATTAGAAATTCTCATATGCCACTTAACTGATTTTTGTGTGAAAAAGCTACATCTTTTGGGGTGATTGATATATTTCGCGTTAAAAAGTCACTGTATAGCATTATTAATATTTGTCTGTCATTTTTTTGCAAGATTTGTGGTCTTTTTTTGTAAATGCGAATCCAAAACTTCATCATTTTATCATAAACCTTTTTCATAGGATGCTAGAATGAACTATTTCAACACCCAGGAAATAGTTGAAGCAAATAAACCTTAAAAAATTACTCATTCTGCATTTTTGTTATACTTTTATGCCATTTTTGAAATATATCCATAGCATAGCATTTGCCCATCTTTATTTCAGATGTTTCAATGAAAAGTATGCTAAATTCAGTCTTTTTTCTCTTACTTGTATTTGTCAGGTCTGTATGCCTGCATACCGACCTGGTGTATGCTAAACCCTCACTCTATGTGTATACTAGAATTTGTCAGGTCGGTATGCCAGCATACCGACCTGGTGTATGCTAAACTCTCACTCTATTCATATACTAGTATTTGTCAGGTCTGTATGCCTGCATACCGACCTGGTGTATGCTAAACCCTCACTCTATGTGTATACTAGAATTTGTCAGGTCGGTATGCCAGCATACCGACCTGGTGTATGCTAAACTCTCACTCTATTCATATACTAGTATTTGTCAGGTCTGTATGCCTGCATACCGACCTGGTGTATGCTTAACTCTTACTCTATGTGTACAAATGTATACTAGAATTTGTCAGGTCTGTATGCCAGCATACTGACTTGGTGTGTGCTAAACTCTCACTGTATGCGTATACTAGTATTTGTCAAATCTGTATGCCTGCATACCGACCTGGCGTATGCTAAACTCTCACTTTCTGCGTATATTAGTATTTGTCAGGTCTGTATGCCTGCATATAGACTCAAATTATTATTTATTTTGGCATTTTTCTGCCAGGTACTTGTATGCCTGCATGGATTCTAAAATTTTATTCTGGATTCATGTTTGTATTGGCAAGTCTGTCTGCCTGAATGCTAAGCATTTACTGTGTAGTAACATTTCTTATTTACTTATGTTTGCATAACCAACCCCCCATAGAAAATAAGGAGATGTGTATGATTTTGAAAGAGACATACAAATGTATCTCCATCAAACATGTCAAAGGCCGAATTACATCGATGTAAGGAATTACTTATGTATAGCCTTCAACTTCGTTTGAATTTGAAAGAAAGCTCTCAATTCTTAACTGCAACACTCAGGGGTTTATTCCTGTATATCAACCCGCTTTTCAATAAACTCTTGTAAAAAAATGGAATTCATAGGTTTGATTGTCGGCATACCGACCTATAGTCCTATACACATTGGAACATAAAAGTTTGCATATTTGTTTGACATTTTCAGTTCACGGTATTCTTGCATACAACACTGGTGTACGGTGAACACTTATTTTTTTTTACTTGGATATATACAAGATTTGATTGCCTGTATACCCACCTATGTTCTATTAAATTATAGTTTTACATACATTTTAGTATTGTCAAACCAAGCTGGTGTTCATTGAGCTAGTGTATTTGTGTAGGGTTTGCCTCCAGTCTAAAATTTCTGCATATTTTGTGGCACTTATTGGATATTTAGCAAGCTGAATGGTTTGCATTCTAACCAGCTGTATGTTGTACATGTATTCATATTTTAAATTGTAAAACTTATTTTTCATCATGCTCTAAGTAAGTAACTTCAAGCATTGTGTCAAGAGGGGCGAAAGATACCAGAGGAACAGTCAAACTCATAAATCGAAAATAAACTTACAACACCATGGCAAGAAAAAGACAGACAAATATTAATAGTACACAAGAAACAACATAGAAAACTAAAGTCTGAGCAACACGAACCCCACCAAAAACTGGGGGTGATCTCAGGTGCTCCGGAGGGGTAAGCAGATCCTGCTCCACATGTGGCACCCGTCGTGTTGCTCATGTTATTACAAACCCGGTAAATAGTCTAATTCGGTAAGTCACATTCATGAAAAGGGAAGGGGATTGTAGTTACGACGTAAGAAACATATCCGATATCATCTGTGAAACGGTTATTCCATAACGGTCAACCAACTCGTAATGGCGTCCGTATAATTTACGAAGGGATGATTTCAACTTCACCATTTGGAACTCTTGGTTAGAAATTGATGGAGAGAAAATGAAACTGTCTTAAGATCTGATATAGTTGGCAATATGCATACTAAATAGACAGTGATACAGCAGAGTGTTTAAGTCATTGTGTTTGCATCTCTGCCTGTCAACATGGTGTATGCCAAAGTTCTTGGTTTTTTTTAAATGCTTTTAGGGGGATGTCTGTATACAATTTGCTTTACAAAGATGTATGCCAAACATGCATACATGTATTTTAATTATCGGTAATGTAAACAATTTGCAATGATCTGTCTTCACTGCATATCATAAGTCGATATCTAACTGGATTAGCTAATAGATATGAAAATTAGTGAATTTATAGCATTATACTATGGTAAAAATTGTTTATAATGGCATATTATACACTGGAGTTGTAAAAATAAATCCTTCAATCAGGAAAGCCAAAGAATTGATGCTCTTTCTACATGTTCTAGGTGTCGTCCTTTTCTAGTGAAGCCATTTTTACTTTATTAGCAGGAACAGCAAAAGGTCAGGTGTTGTTCATTGATGTCGTAGTTTTCTAGGAAGGCATTGGTTTAACCTATCCAGTCACTAAGAAGTGTTACAATTCAATTCATAAGCAACACATAAATAGTTACATGAAAGGTATAGCCACTGTTTGAAAAATGCTGAAACGAGAAATGGAAACTACATATTATATACATATATATATGTGTGAATATTATACACTTCACAACTTTAACATTATCACAATTACTGATTTTAGAATTTATATGAACTAAGGGTTCTTAGTGGTTGAATTGAAGTCGTTCCCTTGAAAGTATTTTTGTCGCCATGCATCTGATTGAAGATCAATGAAATATGTCATTTCCTTATTAACATTCATTTTTCCAATTTGAACACTCTTGAAATGTGCTGTTCTGATCCTTTCGCAATAAATGTATGTTTAATTTGTTTGAATTACTTCTTTTTTTGTTTTTTATTGCTCACTAAATTTTAAAATTTTCTGTCTGTCTTTCGATTTTGTTGATAGCTTTTCATATTACCCTGTTACAGTAACAGCTTCTTACATACACACATCACAGAATGCTGCAGTGATCATGTGACAAATGTATACAGTTTTCCAAAACAAGGACACATCATACAACCTCCTTGTAAAAATAAGGAGATGTGGGATGATTGCAAATGAGACAACTATCCACCAAAGTCCAAATGAAGTGGATGTAAGCAAGTATAGGCAACTGTACGAACTTCAACAATGAGAAAAACCAATACTGTATAGTCAGATGATAAAAGGACCCAACATGAAAAATAAGAAACAATAATTTATAGCAAAACAATTTACGAAAAAGAAATACGACATACATGAACCAGTGACAACTTCAACTACAGGCTCCTGACTTGGGACAGGCACATAAAGACTAGTGTGGCCGGTTTTAACATGTGAGCGCTCACCCCACCCCCCCCCCTTTTTACCTTGGACTTTTGTTTCCCTAAAAGTTGTTAGAATAAGACCTGAATGGGTTAACTGAAGGGCATTGGCCATGCATTTTGAAAATCTGGATAGGGGCTGAATTTCAATTTTTTTTTAAATCCGGGAGACTTTAACTCAGTGGCAGATCCAGAAGTTTCATAAGGGGGATGGGCTGGGGAGGGCACGGACTTCCTTAGAAATGGACCGCTCCAGTATTGTTTCCCTCAATAAATCAACTAAATTTTTCCCACAAAGCACCCCTTAAAATCCTTAAAATTGTAACTAATGCAAGGAGACATCACTATGGATGTACACATAATCGTATTTCCCATTCATTTTTTCTCTAAATACTTTCAAGAGGGGGGTGGTAGTCCAAATACTTATGACGTCTTGCAAGGCTATTTTTTTTTGGGGGGGGAGGGGGGGGGGGGGGTAGCTCGATAGTTAAACAGCAGTAAATTTCGCCACATGATGTCTAGCATGAAATTGATTGAAGTGAACAAACCTCCTGAGAAAACAAACTTAGCGTAATCAATAATCTTGTATTATAGTTTTCAAGCCGGATTAAATCAGTCAGTCACTTCTTAAAAAAAGAGGGTGTTCTATGAAATTCGTGGAAAATGTACAAAACAGCTAGGTTTACTTACCGTAAATGTATCTGACATTCTGTTTTGCTTCTGGTATATTAAAATTTAGATAATAGAGCGTATTTTTCAATGAATTGTCCATTTTCTTCTCCGTGACGGGAACTCCTTTGTTTACATTTGTAAATGACGTCATATAGGAGTGCGTGACATAAGGTGTTATTAGGTCATTCAACGCAGATAAATAGTCCATTTGTTCTTTGACTTTTTATCATTTACCAATACAAAGTATAAAAAAAAACATTTTGTTTTGTATTCAATTGCTATTATTTTAATTAAGTGTACTGGTAAAAAGTAACTCGCGTAAGTCAAGTGCTATCCGTCTATAATTCCCTCCGCCTTACGTCAGAAGGTCCCTGACGTCATTTGAAATTTTGTCAACAACTTGGAACCTTATACAAATTATGATCGCCTCATTTTTCCGTAATTTTAATTTGCAAAAAACAGATAACTGTCATGTCAATAAAGTGATCATAGTCGTGGAACTTGAGAATCGGTTTTCATTTTTAGATTTACAACAGTAAACGCTTTACTGGTTTGCCTTGCAAATTAACGCTTTTCTGTTTACCTATCGGGAGAAAATATAGAGGTCAGTGGTAGGCTTTTAGTTTAAAAAAAAAAAAAAAATCGAAATCAGCGTTAAAACACAACTACTGAAGTAAAGGATTTTTTGGAAACACCCAGGTTCGTATGCTAGCATACAGACCTGCGAAATACAACATTTGATTCAATATTTGCCGTTCTGCATACACCAGCAGCTCTTTTCACAAAAAATCTTAAGAGTAAAAATACTCGTAAGTCATACACATTTCAGTATAACTTACGATCAATTTTAATCGTAAGATTTTTTGTGAAAAGAGTCGCTGGTTCGTATGCAGGCATACAGACCTGAGAAATACAATGTATAAATCAAATGTAGACTTTAGCATACACCAGGTTCGTATGCTGGCATACAGGCCTGAGAAATGCAAGTTAATTTATTACAATTCAGTTCAGCATACACCAGGTGTTCAATATGTCAGATTCACGATTTTCAAGTGCTTGATAAAAAGAAAAACGTGTTTTTCTTTTATTTTTCTCGTTTTTGCACAAGTTTGTCTTATGAGCGATAATTCGACCTATTTGAGTACGAATTATGCCAAATGACCGTTAATGAGAATTTCTAATTTTAGATGAGAACGTGTTATGTACAGCTGACCATGATATTTTTATACTTTTAAGAGACACAACCAAGAATCAGTATCTAGAGGTCAAAATAACAATGAATAAAAAAAACTTTATACATGCTACTAATGGGCTGCCTTCAACTCATTAAAACAACAAAAAGCACAAGTTATAAATAAAAAAACACAACATAATAGAAAGCTTTCTGATATTGAACATGAAATGTATGATTAAAATGGAGTAACTTAATCAAGTATACACATGTATTTATACAACATTTTTTAAAGCCACCATTAACAATTTATCACAGTTTAGCACCTTTTTTTCATACATAATATGATTTCCGTCTCTGTATCTTGGCGTATGTTTCCTTCTTTTCTGTTAGCCATTTGTTAAAAGTCTTCCCTTTCAGGTCAGAAAGTGGATCGAATGGAATATATTGAAAGGATTTGTGATAACGTCCTGGAATTTCATTGAATAGTTTCTCTGGTTGAAGTTGTGTTACAATCATGTTTATGTCCTTTTTCAAAGATGGTTTTGAATTTGAAGGCTTTCCAAAATACTCTCCTAGACCATTTACATATGCATCCATGATGTCGTTGCATCCTTGAAGGCTTCTACCAACACGTTTTATGGACGTTGATGTTAGATTTCCATGCAGCGCATGCAAAGCATCCTTGGCTCTCATGTTGAAGAATTCTAAGGCCAGGTCACCTGGTACGTTCCCACCTTTTCCGCCATGGATATTAATTGACCGATTATGTTTCAGTTCAAAGGCAAGCCTTGGAGGTAATGTAGCCATAATCTGTGCTTGAAGTTTAAAGGCCAGTAGGCGGTATTTTGTATGGTTTGAATTTGAAAACCTAAGCATATCAAATTTCCACATTCGAAAAAGGCGATCACCATCATTCTCTTTGGCTGAGTCTTCCCTACACCAGTCCATCAAACCATCCCGAAGCACACAACATGTGTAATTAAACTTAAAGTCAGTTTTGGAATCTGCAGATTTTTCCTTTGTCTTCTTCTTTGGTTCATTTGCGACTGGTTCATGTGGCTGTAATATATTTAAATCTTTATATTGACAAGTTTGTCGATGGTTGCGCCGACACAGTCCATCCAACAGGTAAGATTTTGGACAACCAGGATAACCGCATGGCACTCTATTGGTTTCATTGTTGTCTTCTGTTATGTCATCACAATCTAGAGTAAACCGTTCTGTCTTAATGAAACGATCAACAATAGTCTGAACAATATGTTCCATTAATTCTGCTTTTTGTTCATCTGTTGCAAGATTATTTACATGGTTATCGAATTCATTCAAGTTGTCTACTCCAAGGACTTGTAATGCAGCTAGGAGTATAAAACCTTGAGTGGTCAATCTCATAAACTCTCTGCAATCATTCACTGCTTTTGTCACCTGTTTGGGTAAAGAAAAAAAAGATTTACTAAAAGAAAAAGTATTGTGATAATAATATTTTTCTATTATAATGACACTAAGTTATAATAAGAATTGTAAAAATGAGATTAATGCCATCCGGAATGTTAGAGATTTTTGTTGTTTGATTGCTATCTCATTCATGTACACCGACATCTCCTTTTTATCATAACATAATTGACTGTCAGAACAGTCAGTCAAGAATTATCCCTGTAATATCTACGTGTCAATTCAAGTGTTGTAATATGGGAGTTTTACAGTGTCCTCTTTAAACTATTACATTCCTATGTTATTGGGCTATTGTGTCTGGCGATATTTCTTTAATTTGCATATTTTGAATACTCATCAAATTACCTCTGATTTTACTCCACGTCTATCAAGCATATTCCTTAACTGGAACAGTGTTCCTCTTTCACCAGATGATGAGCCTTTGAACAGCATATTAAATGATTCCTGTAATAATGAGAATTACACAAAGCTATAATAAGTATGTAAAGAATGGCATTATTTCATAAACACATATTTGAGGGGCCTGATGGGGGGGTCTCATCACGATTCACGAGTTGATTTTTTTGTCAATCACGATTCACAGAAAAGAAATTTACCTGATCACAGATCACTAAAATATAAAAAGAGTTTAATCTGTAGAAAAATGGATCACGATAGCGAAAATGCGCCGATCACGAAGAACGAAAATAACCCATCAAGCCCCTCATATTTAACAGAAAGTTAATTTCTGCTTGTTAATCAAATTTAATGTTAAAAAAAAATGACATACAAAATTTAAAAAAAATAAAAAAAAAAATTAAAACTTAGTAAAAGATTTCAATACTAAGTACTTGGTAAAAGATTTCAATACTATGACTACATTTTCAATCTGAAGAAAAGAAGTATGCTCTTACCTGTAATGATATTATGTGGCCATGCCAGTCCTCACTTTTCCAAACGTATCCATCAAGCCTCTGCTCTGGTGTCCTTGCATCTTGTCTGGCTCTCTGTGCTCCATCACCCCTTTCTACACTCAATGCATCTCCTCCAAGAAGTAATGGTATCATTTTACCGTTCTCTGTTGTTGGCACATACTGTTGCAGGTGTTCCATTATCTCAATCATCTGTTCCATGATGTTCTCGTCTTTCTCTAAAATGCCTAAAGGAATCTTAAAAAAAAAAAGAAGTTTGTTATTAACATACAAATATTGTTTCGTTATAGAACATAGGTAATAAATGCTTGAACCAAAGCATAAATATATACACGTATTTATAAATTTTAGTTTTGCCTACAGTATCATGTATCAAATGATCAATTATTTTATAAAATAACAGCATAATTTTTTACTTTGTTTTCTCATAAAATTGATCATATATATATACACGTACATTGTGACTATTAGATCATTGTTGTTTATACATGTATATTAAAAGGTATGTTAAATTATCTTTTAAAAATATTGTATCACTTACAACATTGCTCTTTTTTTCTGACTGCTTTGAATATTGATGCTGGATATGGTATTCCACTAAATACTTTAAGTTTTCCAAGCATGGTACATTTTCAATAAGAGTTCTCTTCATCAATGTCTTGAAGTCCTGATGCAGGTCAAAGTACTCTTGGTCTCCAGGGATGAATGCATCATTTGGGATGGATAATATATCAGCCTGTGGATGGGTTGAATCCAAATCCAATCCTGACACACGAGAATGGACAGCAATAGAATGAACTAAGTTGTGTATTTTGTTCTTGTTATCAAGTGTTTTATGTCTGGTCTTTTGATGTAAATTTAAATTGTCCATCACAACTTGAAAGGATCCACCATCTCTGTTAGCTTCCTTTAGAGTTGTAGTAAATGGTGATTCATCTTGGCTCATGACTGAAATTTAATCAATAAATATAATGGTATGCAATACAAAGGTTTTACAATTATGTTTAAATAAAATAGTCTCCTTTTTAGACAATATACATGATATATATACAGTTTATATACATGTTTATTAATTCATAAACATAAGCATTCTAACATGTGAACTTCTTATGAAGCAATATCTGGGTAACAAAGGTCAACTTCTGAAATCAACATAACACAAGGTGACTGATCCTAAAAAAATATTTATTTGGTCTTAGGTAATTCATCTAATCTAACAATTCCCAGTTTTGTCCTTTTCCTGATTGTATTATTACTTGAAATTTAATATAAAAAGAAATAAAAAACATACCTATAGCTGCATCAGTCCCGCATTTTACAACAGGAGTTCTTGGTGAAAGATCTGGAGAAGTTGTTTGTTCTTCGAATTCTGTAACATTTGGTACCCAAACATCAAAGGTATCATCTGCATTGAAAATAAAGTACACATGTAGAACTATAATCTTTAAAGATTTAAAAACATTCCCTATTTTTTTCATAATATATATATATATATGCAAGTCTAAATTGAAAACAATGTTCAAACCTATGATTGAGTTGAATAAAAAAACACAATATTTATACGTGTGCATGCAAAAACATATTTCTTGCTATACATGGAGGGGTCTAAATACAGCACCAACAACATTTTCCGAAAGACCAAAAATATGAGCTAAAAAGGTATATTTTAACTTACTCGAATAAAACAACTGAATTATTCGGGTTATATTTTAACAAAACGCATTATACTAGCAGGTCCAACAACGGAGTGTTGATTTTACTCAGCAGATTGCACAAGCTTGTGATTCGTGGTTTATTCAAATGTGTTGAAACTTTTTTACTTGTGTTTGAAAATTTCCCTCCACAATAGTTACAAAGTATTATATACAACATACCAAAGGGTTCTGTAGTAGAAACTGACACATCACAATGGACATTCAAATATCTGTTGTCTTTTAGTGGAGTATCTGAGAGTTCGATCTCACCAACAAAAAGTGGGCTATTAACAGGATGCACAGAACTTAATTCCCCATCAGAGACCTTGGTAATTGGAGTAGCGTAATAATAATCATCTAAAAAAAAGAATAATACATGAAATACATTGGACACATATTTCATTATAATTATATATAATACTGTTATGATTATTTTTTGGAATTTTCAATTTTGGTTCTCCATCTAGCAATGTCTAGAATAATGGCTCAATAATTTTGGTGCGAGAAAAACAAATATATAAATTCAAAATATAAGCCAAAAATTTACAATATGATTTGATGATTAACCTGAAATAAGACATTGAACCATGTCTCAAAGTTATAATATTTAATAGCATTGTATATATATATATTGTAGACAGTGCATTTTATCTTGTAAACTACATGTACATGTATGCATATAAATTGTTGCATCAACATACCAAAGCATTCTATAGTTGGGATTGTCACTTCGTTAGCATCAATGGAGGGTAAATCACCATTTGACTCTTTGCCTTTGAGAGGGGTATCTGTGACAAGAAGTGCAACTGAGTAGCAATGGTCACCAGAGGTCACAGTACTAGTGTTGTCTATAGTAGAATAGCAATGGTCTCCTACAAAAGAAAAGGCATGTTCACATGTTCTGGAATTTTAAAGTAAAAGATCCTCAAGTTTCAGATTCTGATGATATTAAATAGTACATATACTGATATACTAAACTATACATATGATCGTGTACATCATGTACATATTTATATACATTTTGTACAGTGTATGCTATAAAACAAAATAAAGAAATAAAAGAAATTGAAATCAAACAAATATTTGCAAATGGCATGATATGTAATTACATCATTTGTTTCTTAAATTTTGATGATAATTACATGAATTATAAACTAATAAAAAAAATTAAACCATAGAATCATCCTCCCTTGTCCATGTATTAACTAATCATTATTTGGATTTGATGTCACACAATTTTTTTTTCTTCTGAAAAGCATACATGTATTGGAAACACCTAATTTAAATATTTCACTGAAATGCAAATATTTAACCATGATAGCTATTATTTAAGTTATCAAATTCCTAAATCAATCACATGTTACTCAATATACCTAAACTACTATCTTCTGTGACTGTGTTAAGCTGATATTGGTTAGATATCTCTTTTGACCACTTCTTGACAGGCATATCAAAGTTTTCACATATTTGATCTACTAAGCCTAATGTTGCCTTGTAGGAGTTGCAAATCCCTGCTCTGTTAAATGTACTGTAAACCTAAAAATCAGACATAATATGTTGTATTAATTTGTATATCTGAGTTAAATTTTACAATTCTATAAAATGTTTCAGCATACTGAGTACATGTTGTTAAAACTTGGTATAGCATGATCAATTTGGTGGGGGGTCCAGGTTTTTTCCAAACAATATTAAATAAATGCTTTTGAATAGGGACTTAAGCATACATATATGGATATGGTTTGAATCCACCCTCCCCTTCTACTATGTAGACATAGTTACATTGACAACATGATATTTGATTGCAGCATATATATATAACCTAGGGCTATGACATGCTTGTAATGCATACTAATGTATATGTATAGTGTATGGAACACAAATTTATCTATCTTCATAGTTACATTGACAACATGATATTTGATTACAGCATATATATATATATATAACCTAGGGCTATGACATGCTTTTAATGCATACAGTGTATGGAACACAAATTTATCTATCTTCACTTTTTTTTAAAGGGATGTGCATTATCACCTACTTTAATTTACTCTTAACTTGTGCATGCAGTTACTCCTGTGAGTGAATGCTAAATACCTTAAACACAATACATGTACATGAACCTTAGTAGTTAACAACAAGATTTTAAGGTTACCTCTGATATAATAAATGTATATACACATGTCATGTACATGTATACTAAATGTATTTTACTTACCCTTGTTCTCACATGTCCTCTGTACATCATGACACTATTAATTGCTTGTAAGGTGTTCATCTGCCTGTTTCTACTGAAAAGTAGTACACCCATACTGGTCACCATTCTTGGGGTCTTCACTAATTTGTCCTTTTTACTATTTCCAATAATAGCACTTAAAATGTCCATTGTTATTGGGCATGTACTCTCTAACTGGCTTATTGCTGACCTCCATGTGAACTTTGAAATGTTGGAAACTTTGAATACTGAACTTTTCAATCTACATAATTTTTGTGCTTCATCGTCAAGTGCCTTTTTCACAGTAGTTGCCAAATCCTTCTTTACCTCATCTATTTGAAGCAGGTGATTTAATGCTGTTTTGTACTGTTTCATCACAATGGCTCTGCAAGCAAGTTTACCAGGGCCTTGCAAAAGTGAGTTTCGCCGACTACTCCTAAAACCTATTTGAACCTGCAAAAACAAAAAAGACCTCTAGATAAGAATTTCATAAGTACATGTATATAAAATGGATTAAGTCTCTATATACATCATTGTACATGTATCTTTTAACATTTGAAAAATTTGCATTTTTATAAAACCAAGGGTTTGTGTACATGTATGAGGATCTGGGTGTGGTTTACAGAATAATAAAATAATGGACAAAATATATGAGATAAGAAGAGATTAAATGGTCTAAAAATTATAAAGATAAAGGAAGGGGTCACCCATATCCAGATCATGAAATATATACAATAACTATTGTTTGGAAGTTACATGTACATATATGTTATAGATGATTTTGAATGTACATTTTGTTATTATACATGTACATGTACCAAAATAAGAATTCAAAAGAAAAGATATACTTTCATTGTACTTTACATAATCTTTAAAATATAAATACACATAGTATTAATGCAAGTGTATACTATAATAAAATATTAATGAGTTTGTATTTAAATGAGCAGTATATATATAAAAAATGAAGGGTACATGTATATACGTGTACAATTTTCATACAGTGAGTATATCCATATACATGTACATTTATTTTTATAGAACTATTCATGACTGTCTACATCATCATTTTTAATATAGAACATTTAAGTAAAGTTTTGTGTCTCTAGTTACCTTCACTTTTGGACCAGGCGATTGTAGCTTGGAAGTTTCTGTTAGCTTTCTGCAAGATTGTGGAGTCTGTGATGACTTTGGAGTCTGTGCCTGTGGTGGTTTTGGTGTTTGGAATTTCAACTGTCGTCTTCTGGACCCCTTACTTGGTGTCGAACATCTGTTTCTCTTTCCCCTGGGGGTGCACCCTGATTTAGACGGTGTGAGTGCATGTAATGCCCTCTTCTTTGTCGTGGTTGGGCATTTTTCTGTCGTTGATGGGCATTTTTCTGTAATGGTGTGGATGGCAGGATATTCATCTTTATCTTGGTCAACAACAGTTTGTAAGTTATTAGCGAATTCGATGAATTGTGGTGAAGCACTTTTCTTAATATTGTTCAATAAGTTCTTCAACTTAGTTTCACACGTAAATACGGCCTTTAAAGTAATAACACATTGGTTACAAATGAAAACATCATCAACTCTCAAGTCAACAACATAGCGAATTTGTTCTTCATCTATTACATAACACTCTGACAGTATTTTAACAGCATTAACTTCTTTTATTTCGTTTTTCAAATTTCGCCTCTTTTCATTCTTTAAGTTGTTAAGGTCAAACACATGCGTACAATGAAAACAAATCCGATTACAATGATCCATTTCACATATTTACATATGAATACAAACATCGATAGCTCCTCCTTAATTTACCGCCAAATTATTTGTAACTCCCACAATTCATTGCGAAGTAAAATTTCCGGTTGACGGACTTTATCGACGAAGGCGTTCAGGCGTTAATGTAGCCATCGTAGATCAGCGGAATATAACGACTGAATTATTCGGGTTAGTTATTATCATGTAATCGTTTTAGCGCTAGAGGTATGGACTTGATTTTTTCTAGCTTTTGTATTATAATTATGCACGGCTTGATTAAACAAAAAATTATTAACAAAAAACTGAACTCCAAGGTAAATTCAAATAGGGAAAGTCCATAAAACCTGACAAGATCACACAGTATAGTAAAACATGGTTTCACATCAATTTCCCGATGAAGTACAAATGAAAACAAAAATATAAATACAAGGGTATCCAAAATGAAAACAACTCTTAACAAACCTCATGCCTTAGAACCGCACATCCTGACCCACCTACATCAGGAACGCCCAAAGCCAAAAACCTGAAAGCCGAATGAACAAATACAGAACCACGTCACGAGTTATACGATCAAATTGAACTTAATAGTACAAAGACAAAAAAAGGGAAAACTGAAAAGTTATCAAAATGATACAGAACGTCTGCACATATAATCTAGCTGTGACTAAAAGACCATCTTGAATTATTGTGAAATAGTATAAACAAAAATACCACACTCCGAGGTAAATTCAAACAGGGGAAGTCCATTAAATAAAGGCAACAGTAGTATACCGCTGTTCGAAATTCATAAATCGATTGAGAAAAAAACAAATCAGGGTTACAAACTAAAACTGAGGGAAACACATCAAATATAAGAGGAGAACTACGACACAACAGAAACACAACATTAAAATGTAACACACACAGAAACGAACTATAATATAACAATGGCCATTTTCCTGACTTGGTACAGGACATTTTAAGAAAACAAATGGTGGGTTGAACCTGGTTTTGTGGCTAGCCAAACCTCCCGCTTTTATGGAAATGTTAAATATAACATACAAATGACAACATTACATGACAGGACTACAATACAAATAAATGGGAGAACATATAGGACAGAGAAACATACGAATAATAGCTTACAAAATGTACCAGGTTTAAAATTTAATGCGCAAGACGCGCGTTTCGGCCACACAAGACTAACTAGTGTTGCTCAGATCAAAAAAGTTCGAAAGCCAAAACAAGTATAAAGTTGAAGAGCATTGAGGACCAAAAGCTCCAAAAATTGTGCCAAATACGGCTAAGGTTATATGTCTGGGATAAGAAAATCCTTAGTATTTAGAATAATTTGCAAACAGTAAATTATAAAAATTATAAAAATGACTATATAATAGATATACATGATAACACCGAAGTGGTGACTAACTACAGAATAAAAACGGATACATAAAACAACATAAACCAGCACATAAAAATTTACAGCCGAGTTAGGCAAAGAGAACAACGCACAAAGTGACGTCACATTTGAATTTCTAAAAATTTCCCCCAAATAGGATAGAATTAGGATAGAATTCAAGATTAGGTTTGTAATACTCATCTAACATTTATTTATAACAATGAAAATTACAATACTAATTAATATAAAATTGTGGTAGTCATTAGATAATAAATTGTATTATTTAGCTATGTCGGTGTTTCTTCTAAATCAAACTGTAAACCAAATATATCGTATAAATTTAGTTGACCCAAACTAAAATCTAATAAATGAACTGGGTGATTAATTATCTTTACCATAACACACGAGTACAACAGAAAAAAATAAGATTTACAACTACAAACGATAAGACATTTGACAAAATCCGATGAGAATAACAAATATAACATCAAAACTAAATACATGAATTTTGGATAGAAAAGTACCGTGACACGTCTTATAGCAATACGAATTCACACTCAGCAAAACAGTCACAATCGGGAATAAGTCACGTTCGGTAATTAAAAGATCAGACGACGTAATGTCAAACCACAATCTAACACGTGGTAAAAATGTCCTTAGTAAGTTTGGACAAAGACACATCGTATGAATCAACCAATTCGTGATGGTGTCCGTAAAATTGACGGAGTGTCATTTTTAATCTGTCCTCCTCATAACTTTGGAGCAGTTTCTGCGTTAGGAGCACACTCCTGTATACGAAGTCTGTATAGTGTGAACATGCAGGAGCATAACGTATCAACTGAGATATGTAAACACCATACGTAGGGGCAGAGGGTATGTTACTGCTGAGAAATGGGAAATTGATAATTGGGAAGTTGAAATCGTCCCGTTTATCATAGATTTTCGTGTGAAGTCGTCCATCTGTGTCAATATTGAGGAAAAGATCAAGGTATGAAGCAGTCCTTCTAGTATCAGTAGTATCCTTAATTTCAAGTTCACTGTGATATATGAGATGTAAGTATTGGCTGAAATATGGGTTATTCAATGATAGGCCATCATCAATATATCGGAAAGTAAAATTAAAGAATTTCGCAAGGTGCTTTTTCTTTTTGTCTTTTAGAAGGTTCGGAATGAATTCTGCTTCATACGAGTACAAAAACAAATCGGCCAGTAGGAATTAGTAGCCATTTGAATACCGACTGTCTGTTGAAATATAAATCCTCCAAACTCAACAAATATATTGTCGATCAAAAAGTCCAGCATTTTGATAATATCATCTTCAGTATATTTTCTGGTAGATTCAGTGTGGTTCTTCACAAAATATGAATAATTATTGTAACCCAAAACAAGAAATTTGTATCTACGATTCCCATTTTTATAGAAAAAGCTCTGTTTAATGAGATGGTGAAGTCGATCTTTCAACTGAGCATGAGGAATAGTAGTGTAAAGCGTAGAAAAATAAAAAATCTTTATGTTGCTGCAAAATTGCAAAGATTGTGATCAAAGATTAAGCAGTAGATCTTTCGAATTTTTGAGAATCCACATCTGGTTAACACCACTGGTAGAATATATCTCATCACAATATTTTTGAAGCCCATCTTTAACTGTAGAAAGAATAGTAGTCAGTACTTTAGAAAGATGTTTACTCGAACATTTTGATGACCCAGCAGTGTATCGTTCTTTATATGGAGTTTTGTGAAGTTTTGGTATACAGTATAATGATGGTAAATTTTTTTTCGTTTTCCTTGATGTTGATACCAAAAGAAAGAAGGACAGATTTGTGATTTTGTAAAATTTCGTCCTTGGTAAATGATGTTAAAGAATATGTAGGATTACCAGTAGTTCTATTTATTCCAAGCTCTGTTGTGAGACATTGCAAATAATGGTTTTTACATATGAAGACATTATCATATATTTTAAACCTGCCAAAATCATAAACTAGACTATATCAACCAACGGAACGAATGCAAAACAGTTTTCATATTCCTGACTTGTTACAGACATTTTCCGAAGAAAATGGTGGGTTAAACCTGGTTTTATAGCTAGCTAAACCTCCCACGTATAAGACAGTTGTTTATAGTTTCGTTATATTGGCAAAATTGGGTGAGCAACTAAAACAGACATAATTGGTAACTGTGACAATAATTTGGATACAGCAGCCAAAACTGTGTAAACATACATCAGACATACAAAACAACTGACTAAAGAATTCAAGCAAACATAAAAATAAATCTGACAAAGACGTCAACGAAAAAAGTTTTGCAGTTGATAGTTCATACAGTAAATTAAAACATAATGCAATCCTACTTACAC